GGGGAAAAAAAAATCTAAGTAAACTGTTCCCAATGTTCTCTAAGAATGTGGACTCTAAGAACACAATCTGTCCATACAAAGATAAATGCAGTTTTATTAAAGAAAACACAACGGGCTTACACATACTCTTCAAATAGTGTACAGGGTACACATGAAGAAGCAAACACAAATTCAAAGGGGGTGGGACCACAGGGGCCCGGGGCCCCAGTGGGCACTGCTGAGGTTTTGCTCCAAAGCTGAACTGGAAGGCGGGCCTTGCTAGAGACGGGCTCCTTGCTCTGTCCTTCCCAGGGTAACCTCTCCCACGGACCCTCGAACGGAGCTCAAGGAGGTGCCTGCAGAGGCCGGCAATGCGGCCACAGTGACTATTCTCAAAATAATTTTTATTGAAAAAACAATCAACTGAACTACTTATAATCTGCAAGACCAAGTCCCTTGGCACCAAATGTGTTCAAGGCCTCAAATGCTACAGGAGTTTCGATTTATTCCAAATATAGACCTGAAATAACGGACTAAGAAGCAAAAGCAGCAGTATTTTAAGTGACTGACCAACTCCATCCAAATATCCCACCCTTCTTGCCTCAGAATGATGGGAAATAATGAGAGTCAAGAAATACAATTTCTAGAAATTCTCCCTTCCATCACTGAAGGAAGAGTTTTTACGACCAGTGTGACTTTTAAGAATGCTAGCAGAAACTAAAATATACGCAGAACTTCTTTCCACTGCACTCCCCCGAGGAAAACGTCACTTTTTTAGTAATATAAAAATATATTGTAGGTTTATACTTTGGCGCCCCTCACTACTTGAGCATTTTTTCAAGCACCTGGATGTTAACGTTATTAAAATGAAGATTCTGTCCCTGTCCATAAGGACCTCACAAGTCAGGTGTCCGTGCCTAAAATGAAAGGCTCTACTAAATGGTTGATAACTAATTTCTCTAAAGGACTTTTAGAAAAAAGACCCAAAGTTCTGTGCAGTAATCTATTCTTTTCCCTAGTTTAAAAAAGAATTTAACATAAACAGAAAAATCTAAAAGGGAGATGCTGCAACATTCAAAGTGGTAGAATCTGAGTCAGAGCGTTATTCACCAAAAAAATGACCTGCTCGGTGACAAGGCCTATGCTAGACACCGGTGGTCGCCAGTCCCCACTCTCCATAATGAATTCATACCACCTTGTCAGCTTTCATAGATGAAAACACTCGCAGGCCTGTCCTCCTTTCCGTGACAGATAACTAATGCTTCCCCCAAAGACCACACATTCACTTTATATATGACATACAAAATTTCTATAATGGTAGGCTGAATTCCAACTGGGATTCAAGTCCACACAATTCTACACAAAGCTAACCTTCAATTAAAGGGCCAGGAGCTCTGGTTACTGGGATTTCTTTCATTCCAACTCATTTAACAAGTATTTACTGAGCACCAACTGCCAGAAATTTCCTAAACACTGAGCAACTACACTGGCCAAAAACAGACATGGAACCTTCCCTTGTGGGGCTTACAGTCTAGGGGGTAAGTCACATAATCAACAAACTAATTTTATTGAGAGAAATGAATAGGATATAGTGATTCAGATCAACAAGCAGCTGGGCTGAGGAGAAAAGAGAACAGATACCTACTGGGTAGGACAATCGGGTTAGGGAGAGTCTCTCCAAAGATAATCCCACAGAAGATAGAATCTTAAAACTGTCAAAATAGCTGTTACATGGCTGGCATGACAATTACTGGAAAATGTTCTGACTAACCAGTACATATAATTTAGAAAAGACAAAAATATTCAAAAAAAAATAGAATGAGGCTAAACTCATCTATAAACTTAAGAGAACCCCAATAAAAATTGTTTCTGAAAATTTTTTTGAACTAGACAAAGTGTTTCTAAAACTAAATGGATTTAGATAACCAAACTGGTGAGAACAGGCAGGGGGGAAAAAAATCTTAAAATGGAGAGTAATGAAAAATGAGTACCTCTATTAGATATCAAAACCCATTACAGAGCTTTGGTAATCAAGGCTCCAGGTAGATAATAAAACATGTACGAATTCAGTGTATGGATACATGGAGAAAAGATTCAATGAACAGTGTTGGGACAAGCCAAGCATTAGGTATAATAGTCTGGACTCCCGACCTCACTATACACCAAAAAAATTCTAGACACAGTCAACTTTGTCAAGTACATCATGACCTCCTTTTTTTTTAAAGTGGAAGACTCTTTTCCAATAATTTCAAAGCAACATCGTCTGCATGCAAATGAAAAACCTAGAAGCCATAAAGGAAGAGTTGATAAATCTGATTTAAAATCAATTTCTGAATGGAAACATTATATGACAAGGAAACTCAAAAGACATATGACAACCCTAGGAAGTATATGGGCAATTACCCCATCCCACAGTCCCCTGAAGTTTCCCTGAGATATTAGCTGTGCTTCTCAAATGGTACTGTGCTTACCATTCACCTGGAAATCAGCAGGCCTGGGGATGAGGGGGGAGGGGTAGCTCAGATTCTGCTAGTCTAATAAGCTCCCTGGAGATGTTAAGTGGCTAAATTTTATGGAACTTTCCTAGTTAAAGAAACCTGGGGCCAGAATTAAGAGGGACTCAGATACCTTAACAAGAAACACCTGGGAAGGTTTCCGAACACCCCCCGCCCAAGCATCACCATTGGCAGTCTGACTTAGAAGATCCAGTGTCAACAGCAGGAATCAGTATTTAAAAACAAAAATAACAAACAAACAAAACAAAACACACCTTCCCTGCCTGACAAAGACATTCAGCCTGGTTTGCAATCCAGTGGGCAGATCATCTGAGCCCATTCCTGCTTTTTCTGTGCTCTGAACACTGCAGAGAGACCCGAGCTGCTAGCTTCAAACTATTTCTTTCCTGTCCCCAGACCCCACCTGCCCGCCCTCCCCGACCCTCATGTCACGCTTTCGTAGCCCTGTCCTAACACCTCCCCCTCCCCGCTCCAGGATGGAGAGGGCACAGCAAAGGAGGCCTCCTGCACGAATTCAGCAGCATCCAGGGACGGTTTCCGCGCTTGGCCGCCCTTTGCCCACTCACTGGCTGTGTGATCCTGGGCAAGCCTCCTAATTTCTGAGACCCCCATTTCCTCATCTATGAAAGGCAAGCTGTCGTGAGGGCTAAGCGAGTTAGCCTACTGAAAGAACTACATGAACTATAAAGCATCAGATGAATGATATTTTTTATTAGACGTGGGGCCTCTGGGAATGCACTTCCATAAATCCACACTCCTCACATCCACGTCCCGATAATGTTCTACAAAGTTTCCCCTCCCTGTTGCCTCTCAATTTACAGGAGAAAAAAAACTCTCCAGGTTTCTACTTTCTATTTCTACTTTCTAAATATACAGACTAAACTTTACGAACTAAATGAGTAGAACATAACATGTCATATCAAGCCTAAGCTAAAAACGTCTTCAACTTTGTAAAAGATGCCAACAAATACTGCATAGATGTCTGCTATAATGTGCATGACAAGGACTTTCCAAAACAAATTCTATCTTCTTAACAGCTTCTACTATTTTATTTCTAAATGTTAAGTCTCATCGAAATCTTCGTCCCTGCTCATTTACACTGCCTGCCCACCACACACCACCCCCAAAAATCTGGGGAATAGTGGAGGAAGCAGTATTTGGTATCTGACACCATCCCCAAGGGCACACATCTTACTGGTCTCCTCAAGAAGGCATTTGCCACTTAATGCATTTGCTAATCCAATGAGTTTGAAGATTCCCTGGGAGGAAGTTTGAAGCACGTGCACAATATACACATTGGATTTATCATCAGGAAGCATTTGCCGAAGGCCACAGAGAGCATGCTTTCCACGTTGATCAGAGTCGGGAGGGGAGGAAGGGAGGGGTGGTGCCACCAGGCAGGACACTCAGGTCTAATGACACACCTGGTTTGCCTCCTTCCAGGTGCTCAGCAGACCAGATCATCCCAGTGCCCCGGGGTATGGGGGGGGGGCGGAATTCCTCACCAGCCACGTCTGAACGAAGCACCATACAACCTAAAAGCCACAAAGCAAATCAGGCAGCAGAAAAGCCTAGGTAAGGCCTTGAAATCTTCCAGTCGGAGACACACATTAGGCGGCCACCCTAGTTACTACCTAGCTGGCTAACACCCAGGGAACAAAGTAATGCTCCCTGCGATTGAACCCACACTGGAGCACGGGGTCCAGAACAGCAGAAGCCACGTGCTGCCACAGGAGCTGCCTCTGTGAGCAGGGCTTCTCCAGAACACCACACAGGACCTATTTCCCAGCAAACTAGCTGGCCAGAGACCATTTGGTTTCAATTAACAGTAACACACTCCTGCGAACCTAAGGGGGTGGAAAGATAGGGTAACATGGGTTCATTATAAGGCCAAGGGGTCTATCAGAAGACCCTGAATCAAGAACAGCAGCCCGTCCACAGGGGAAATGGAAAACTATCCACAAATTAGACTTTTCCCAAGGTCTCTCATCTCCTGCCCTGCACAAATGCTCTGTTCTTTTCTCTGCAAAGTAGTCTTATTCCATGCCTCTCTCTACTCACGAGTCAACCATCTCCCCAATGAGAGTTTCCCTGAACTATAATGTGAACATCAAAGACAAGCTAGGATTCGGCACCTGGGTGGCTCAGTTGGTTAAACGACTGCCTTTGGCTCAGGTCATGATCCTGGAGTCCTGGGATCGAGTCCCACATTGGGCTTCCTGCTCAGCAGGGAGTTTGCTTCTCCCTCTGACCCTCCCACCGTCATGCTCTCTCTTTCAAATAATAAGATCTTTAAAAAAAAAAAAAAAAAATACAAGCTAGGATTGCCATCCCCATTCCAAAATATTCAGGAGACAGTTTAACTCAGCTTGGGTGAGATGTCCCCCCCCTTGATCCAAACATGAGAGAGGAGGTGGGCAAGCTGGCCTAACTGTAGAGGATATCTACCTGCCTGGCACAATTATAAAAAATAACGATACAAATGATAGCTGAATGAACTCTGACCTTTGTTAAAGCCACAAGGTTTTCCAAAGGAACCATCTTGTCTTCTTATCCTCACTCCAAGGAAGCACAGCTGTATAGCCAGATCCTCAAATAACAGATAAATGTCTTTTCTGTAGCTTGCTTGTTGGTTGCTTGGGTCGAGGAAAAAAGCATTTTGTTGTTATCAAATGGAAATTTATTTCTGGTTCTTCCTTTTCTCTTCAGAGGAAGGTTCTCGGCAGGAATCTTACCTGGAAACAGGCAAGTCAACCTGGCCAATACACGAATACCCCCTTGAGATCATGGAGGCAAAGGTGGGAGAGAGACACAGCCATTGCCAGGGCACACAGAACACACATACACAGAACGGAAGCTTTCTGGGGCAAACGTATTAAAAGTAATTTTCCACAGGAAGAGACAGTTCGGTGTAAAGCGGTTCGGTGTAATGGTTAAAGCAAGGCTCAGTCCTTCCTCACAAAAGCCACTGGGTGTTTCATAAAGTAGCCCCAAAGAGTCCATCAGTCGGGGTCTATTTCACCTAGGGCAACAAACACATTCCTCACAGATCACAGGCTGCTCTGTGTGGTTGCTAATAAGATAATCTGTTACAGGAGGCTTACAAATCCATTTACATTGATTTTAATTAATGAATCAATCCCTGGCCTTGAACAACTTGGTCCAGAGAAGGTAAGCAATCCAGCTTTGGTCTGTACTCCCAGCCTGAAATCTACATTAACAAGAAGTTAACTCTCAGATCAAAGAAGGACAAATAAAAATAATTGGGTTTGTATGTCTCACAACATAAGGAAAAATCTCTTCCAAGTTTAGACAGTAACTCTTCACACGTCAATACGAGGAATATATTTTCCGTGATTTCCTAACAAACTCGCCTAGGACTAAGGGTCTTGTTTTGCTTTGTTTTGTTTTACAAGCCCGAAATCTGGAAAACCCAAGTCTGATATCATGACTCTCAGTCAAACCTCTAAAATCAAAATAAGCCTAACTTTCTCAACAGCTTATCCGAACCTTTCAGTCTAGACTGAGGTTGAACAGAGAATTACCCAAACACAAAATACAAATGACAAGAAAGAACAAAGTGGCACTCACCAGCCTATCTGTGCTCTGAATCAGCCAGGCTTCATTAAAAAGGCAGGCAAACTTTTGCATTTGCTTTTATTTTATCCTTTACAAAGGCTGAAATAGAATTGGACCTTCCTGAGTCATTGCCAACTATGAATTGGAAACAAACTCAATTTAAAAGACAGCGTCCGTATATGACTGCTCATCACTTCACCTTTCCTCCTTCTTTTTCCTTATCTCTTTCACAGGGTTTGCCTACCCACTCTATTTTTAGACTTCTATCAGAACTTCCAATGACTCCATATATACTCAATGGGGAAAAAAAAGTCCACGTTCAGTCCCGTTTTCTCACAGCCAGCTAACACCAATTAGCGTAGGAAAAGAACAGAGGAGTGGATAAATGAAAATGCATCACACTCGATTTTAATTTTTTTTTCCAAGATCGAAAAAATCCATAATTCCACAAGCAAAGCATAAAGCAGCAGTGAGCAGCGGCCCCACGGGGAGAGACACCAACCTGCGTCTGCTCGGATGGAGGAACATAGACAAATTGGAGTCTGCTCATAAAAGAGGAGCTACTCAAGTTGCAGTAGACCCACTACATTGGGAGATAAGCACTTCATGTTTCTCCCTTACTTTTTCGAGTGTTTAACAAAATAGTTATCAAGCTGATTTTGAAGTCAGTAAGACTGGCCTGAAACGCTGCAAAAGGAATACAAAAGGGGGAAAAAAAAAAAAAAAGACCCTGTTTATAAGGAAGTAAACTGCAAGAAAGAGCAAGAGACAAGCCAGAACTCGGGTGGGCTGGCATGGGTGTGTTCTCTCCTCTCCTTTCTTTCTCTCTCTCTCTCTTTCCCTCTCTCGCTCTCATTCTCTCCCCTCCCTCCCTTCACCCTCCCTCTCTCTTAACGGAGAGAACAAAAGAAGTTGATACTTCAGCTGTACATATGGACTCCAGAGCTTTCTGCCTCATGTCTGCTTCCATGCCCACAAGTTTGAGGATTCACTGGAACATTAAAGCTCCCTGCAACATTCGCCTTGCGTTTGCTGGGGCATTTCGAGGGACCCGGCCCGCGCCTTCCCGGGCGGAGTGTGCAGAGCTGCACGGCCGAGCAGGGTATGCCAACGCAGCCTCACATTCAGGTCAAGACCACAAATTATAAACAGTTTCAGTAAATTGACTCGAGTGCCTTTGTTCCTCAGACATACATCTTCCTACCGCTTACAGAGGCAGGCAGCAGAACCTAACCACTGATGTGACTACAGCCAGGACCGGGAAAGGAAGTTATTGAAGCCTGGATTTCCTGCTTTTGCTTGTAGCCAAGAACTATGAGGCTTGTAGTGGTTTCAGGAACTGACTCATCTAATGATTCATGGAGAAGATACTGCTTTTAATACGTTTCTGACCCTAAGACGCAGGGACTTCAAAACCAACCTGAACTCATGCTTCACTCTTATTTGCAAACGAATATTCACAGCAAAATAAAAAACAGGAGGACAATGGTTAATAAAATCGAACATCACGCCAATGGCAGGAAAGTGGTATGTGGACACCCCATTGGAAGCCGTGATCAAACGCCTAGTCTGTGGGCTGTGACTTGACAGCATTCAAACTTCCCAAAAGTGGGTAACAGGTGGGATAAGGTTTATTTTTAGATGTCACTCCCCTCGATGTAAAAATAGATTTAGCACAGCAATATTTTAATTCAGGCGCATCTGGGGTTGTGACTCGAAATACCCAAGATGTGAAGAAGCCTGTAGGTCTAGATTTAACTGTGAGAGCTGCAAACCAGAGAGAGTTCAGGGTTAGCTGACCAATGAGTAATGGGTAATAAAGGACTCCTAGTGGAACTCATTCTCTTAAATCACCCTCTGCAGAACACTGCAGTTCAGGACTTCCACCGTCCTCTGCCTCTGAACATTATTCTCTTCGTTCCACCACACACATGCACACATGCATGCACAAGTGGACGAATGGGGGCGGACACATGCACGTGCACACACACACACACACCCAGTATTGAAGAGCAAAGCTCTCTAAAAGTACCGAGTCAGGAGCTGGCACCTCTGGCTGCTTCCCACGAGGTCCCCACAGATTCGTTCATCATTGAGAAGTCCCACGAGGGACCAGTTTTTTCAATCCTCCCCTACCCACCAATCCTTGGGTTTCCCTTTCTCCCCAGTGGAGGGCATCAAACACAGAACCAGCTTCAGGGATAGCTTTCAAAGTGTTTACGGGTTTCAACACCAGCCCAGCACACAGAGGGAAAAGGAAAACAACAATGTAGGCTGGGTGGGGGTGGGGGGTGGAGGAAACAGTGAGAACAGTTGACCAGGCGAGGCCAAAGTGCAGGACTGCTCGGCGGGGCTCCTCCAGCAGATTTACTGACATGACGTCAGTGGCTCCAGCCCAGCTTTTTCTTTGGTAGCTTTTTACCACTTGCCTCCTGAAGCCTCCACTATGTCAGGGAGCCACAGGACCACAATGAAAATTCCCTTTGCGAAACCGGGTTTACCTCGGGGCACAGAGGCCAGCCTGCCTGTGAATTACAGGGCTCCTTGCCCTCTCTCTGGGCCCATGGAGGAAAGGGGAGGGGATGAACCCCTACAATGCTATGCTTTGCTTTAATACAGAGGAACCATTAAATGAAGCTCATTGCCTTAAAAAAAAAAAAAAAATGAAAATAAAACGCAGGGAGGGCGGGTAGTTAGTTACTAAGTGAGTATCCAAAATTTCACAGGCCAGGATGCTGGTTAATTTCTCAGGATGTCATGAATGATGATAATTTCAGGACTCGTGGCTCATTCTGCTGTGAGGCTAGGTTGGCTGGATTGTGAATGCACGTGGCTTTGTTTCATCAACAAACAAAAATGTATTAATTACTGAAGCTGAAACTCCAGGCCTGAATGGACCCTCTGAGAAGAGCATTATAGCTTCTTCTCCTTAAGATGAGCTTTTAATTTTTTTTTAATTTTTACTTTTTCCTTAAGTGCATATTCCTTGATGAACCGACATGGGTATCAAAACAATTTCCAAGAAACAAAGATAGGAATTACTAAAAATAAGTCTGACAGCAGACCTGTTAAAGAAAAAAGCACTCACTTGGGGCGCCTGGGTGGCTCAGTCGTTGAGCGTCTGCCTTCGGCTCAGGTCATGATCCCAGGGTCCTGGGATCGAGCCCCACATCGGGCTCCCTGTTTGGCGGGAAGCCTGCTTCTCCCTCTCCCACTCCTCCTGCTTGTGTTCCCTCTCTCGCTGTCTCTCTCTCTCTCTGTCAAATAAATACAATTTTTAAAAAAAGAAAGAAAGAAAAAAGCACTCATTTTAGGCTTAGAGGCTTACTATGGTGTTCCCACAACAGCACCATACTTGCTGTGTTCTAAGGACTCCACTGCATAAATCTGCCTAAAACCACAAAGCTTTAACGTTGTTTTTTTTGCTTATAAAAATAATGTATTAGTGATAAATTCTTTAAATGACTGAGAGATTAAATATATTCTATTTTAAACACTTCAAGAGAGGAAGGTACAAAACTTAATTCAAGGAGTATTTACTCAAACAGATGTGTGTAAATGACCCCAACCATCTCATCAAAATATAGCTTGCAGTCTGAACGGCTCAGAGAGGTAATAACAGGAATTTTTCACCTTCTGGTTATTTAAACAAGGAGCAGAACAAACTACTGGGTAGACACGACCAATGGGCATTGACTTAAGTCTTCTGTAAAGCTGAAATTAATGTGAGCTTTGGCCTTCATGATGAGTGTCAAACCATGAACTGTCCCTGGGGAATTCTTTGGTTTGGCCTTTTTTCTTAGGGGAGAAAAGGACAAGATGACAAGCAAGGGCATGGAAGTGACGACTAAGAGCCAAAGGAGCCAACATGAGACAGGTGCACAAGGAAAGGATTTACCATGGCCCAACAAGTTGACCTGGAAGGTGGGATCCATTTCTGAACAAGTGGCGGGGGGGGGGTGGGGGGGGCGGGAAGCAGAGACCTAAGCACTCACACTGTAGCCTTGAAATACCATTTTCCACTACAAGGAACCAAAAACCCAGCAGAAATGGTTCATTCTAAGTCAAGAATACACAGGAAGAGAATGGATAGCAGGCAGCTACCAAAAACTATCTGGGTCACATCAAAAGGACAAAGGAGCCCACTAAAGAATCTCCTCATGGCCAAAGATGGTACAATTTGAGTATCAATAAGAGGAACTATAATGTAGTCAAAAGCATCCAATAATTTAAAATCTATGATTGCATAATGATACTCAAACAAAAAACAAAACCAGAAACCTGCCTCTCCTGTACAAACCATACACCAGGTTAACCAAATAACTGATAAGAGAACATTTCTCTCTGTAAGAGTCTACTAGCTACTAAATGAAAGAACCAGAGAACTGAAATATTACCAGTTTACAAAGCCCATATGAAATAACAGATACGGGCAGAGATCATAAACCAATGGCTGTCAATATCACAAAGAGAAAGACAACTGCACGTTATGATTACGTACCTCTTGTGGAACTACTGGTTATGAAATATTCCTCTCAAAAAAAAAAAAAAAAAAAAACCCACAAACAAAAACATTAAACCTGAACCAGATTGAGCTTGTAGATCTAAATTCCCATTTATGGGAATTACAGAGGACAGTGGAACATGATACATGGCACCCTGAGGATGTTGGCTGCAAAATCCAGAATGAGGAGAACTCGAGAGAGACCCAGTGAGGCTTTTATAACAAACCAACTGCAAGGGAAAAATAAAGGAGGGAAGAGTGATCTCTAAAGAGTTTTAAGAAACACAGTAACCAAAAAGAACCAATTTTGTCCAGACCCGAATTTAAACAAACCCAACCATGGGAAAACACTGTCAAGACAATCAAGGAAATTTGAACAGTGACTTTTATAGATATTTTATAATAAGGAATTATTATTAAAATGTGATGATATTACAGTTAGTATTTTTTTAAAGAGTCATAGTTTTTAAGCACTTACTGGAAACTTTACAGATGAAATGGTATGACATCTGGGATTGCTTCAGAACAAAACTCCAGTGGGAGAGGAGCCAGGGGTTTAGAAGAAACAAGAATGGCCAGGAGTTGATGACTGTTGCTAAGTTATGATGGGACACGGGAGGGTCACTGCCCTCTATTGTACTGAATTTTTCCATAATAAAAATTCTGAAAAATCTGAAATAAAATATAACATACTTTTCTTGTCCCCCTCCCTCACACAGAAAGATACTAGAGGAAGAGGTACTTGGCATTCTAATTTTAGCTACTCGGTGAGCGTGATCACCCAGAGATGGTGACCACCTAGTGATGGTGACGTATGGGACACTACCTTCTCTGCCAGGCACTGTACTACTATGTCCATTTTATAGGTAAGGAAACTGAGATTCGAAGATTAAAGAGGTTGCCCAAGGTCAAAGAGATAAGTAGAAGAAATGTGTGTAATTCTACAAGTTCACAAACATGAGAATGAGAATGCGTTGTTTTTTCAAAATAGTAACAACTCTTGAGAGTGCTGATAACTCTAAGCCAAAAGATTCGATGCTCTCCAGTGTTAAAGGCCGCAGAATTGAGAAGTGGTGCTTTTCTTGACCATTTTTGGTGAAGCTCAGGGAACTGCAGGGGCAGTCTAAGATCTCACAGTGATAAGAGCAGAGG